AGGTTGTTTTTGTAGAGGGCTTTGCTATTTAGAGATGACTATTCAGTGCTAGTCAAGTGCACATTCGATGGAAACAAGTCAAATATCCACCACATTAATCGAGACATTCTCGCTGACAGAGATTTCTGAAACCACCAAAAGATAAAAATAAGGCTTAAAGGAAGACAAAGCATGGACTTCGGTTAGTGTAATGGACAGCACGTGAACCCCCGGTAAGCGTAATTGACGGTGCGAAGGGGCGCGCTTTATATTTGCATACTTGGATAGCTAGTCTTCAACGGCAGTGCAAGATCCAGCACGAATTTTAATCGTTTTTCTTCTTGTACTGCCATCGTCTATGGTGGAGATTTCTTCAAGCAAGGTGACGCTTGCAAGATCCATTCCGAATGGTGAAAATCGTTTAGATCTGCGAAAACATATGGTTGACTTCAGTGGTACACTTGCGAGCCGGCCTCTATGATCAGCGAACCATTCAGTTCGATTTGTTTGCCTTCCCACCATGGCCTCTTTATGAACTAGGTCTTCGACCTATTTACTCGCAGTTCAATCTTTTTTCTTGGTTGAGCTCATTTAGCATCGTCTCTATTTTGCTGGTACTCCTTGGGAAGAAAACGTAATCGTCGGAGAAAGGCAGACTTTGTAAGAGTTTTCCATTAACACGTGTATATATATAATACCACGAATGTTCCTCATATGAGAGATCTCGAGCCGGTTAGTCGGGTTGCTACGTGGGGCTTCCACAGGTAGCGGATAGGGGGTTAATCGCGGACCAAATGCTACCTTTGCTTCCCCGAGAAGCAGGTAGATCTAGGGAATGGACTCCTTGTTTCTGCTTTGTTTCTGATTTGGTTTTTCTCTTGTTTCTGATTTGGCACATACTTTCTGTATTTGCTAGGCATATTCATGCATGCGTGTGTGGGTACGTTCTCGCTTATGCGATTGTATTCTACGAGTCAATTCGGCCAAAAGCCTGTAATCAAGTGACAGGGAAGCATATGGTAGCCGGTTAGGAGCCCCCTCTAACAAATAAGCTCCATGTCCACTATGAGAGCAAGCTACCCGTGAGTATATACAGCCTCCAAGTTCCATAGTCCAGCAAGCTATACGTCGGTATCAGAATGCGAAACACAGTAGAAAAAAAAAGGTCCTCATTGCCCTTACCACGAAAGAGCTCCTAATTTCGCAGCGTTGGGTAGGACGAGTACGGAGAGGCTGCTAAAATCTCAGGGCGAATGGAGGCTGCCTGTATCAAGAAAAACTATGGTGGCGATCTCTCCCTACAATGCACGTACACTTGCATCCGAGTCCTCGATAGAGGCCTTACTCATGCAAGCAAGAAGGATAAAGTACGACGTCATGGGCCCGGCCGAGACGAGACGACGCCACTCATTGAAAGCCGTCTGTGACACCGGAGAAGAACTGTTCCTCGGAACATGTGACAGTAGAGGAGTCGGCGGTGACGGCGTTCTCATCAACACGAGTTTGTCCACGAACATCGATTCACTCGAACAACCTGCAACCCGAATCGGATGTTTACGATTAAGAAGACGTGGATCAATTCCGGCTTCGACAATCTTCGTCGTTTATGTGCCGACATCAAACTATGACAAAGAAAAAGTCGAAGAAAAAGTCTATATGGACTTGCAGAAGTTCTACAGAAAAGAACATACATTCTTTAAGGACATCATTGGAGATTTTATCGCCAAGACTGGACCAATAAGAACGTCTGAAAAACGTAACATTGAAACCATGGATTAGAATGAAACGAGCAGGGTGAACGGCTGAGTTTATCATGGCGACCAAGGCAATCCATGGTAACTCGTAATTCCAGAAGTCACATCCCCAACAGTGGACGTGGGAGTCTCTCAATGGAAGGTACCATAACGAAAAAGACCATATCATAGTAAATAGAAGGATTTGCCTAACCAATGTCGCTGTAGTTCCAAAATTCTACACGGGATCAGACCAACGTTCCCTTCGAACAAGATTCTATTTCTCGCGGAAAGGAGAAAAAGTCGCTAAATTCAAAAACTGAGGCCCCAGAACCACCATAAACTGGGTCTTCTTCAATTCATTAGTCGGCTGCTGGGAAGATGCCGTTGTCGATAACATTGACTAAGAAAACGATCGGCTCATTCAACATCTTCACGCTAGCTATGAAACCTGAGAGTTCGAAAGTCACCAAGAGACGTCTGTCTCCAGAAACCTAGTTGATACGCCAGCGTGGAATCGCAAAAGCTTCAGGCAACCGAGAACTAACGACCGAAGTTGCAAAACAATGAAGACAGGCGATAGAAGAAGATCTTAGAGAGACAAGAGCAGCAAAAATGGTCGAAGCTGTACAGGCCGTTAGAAGCATTCGCAAAACCCACCAAAGCTTCGCCAATTACAAGACTAAGATGATTGCTCTCCGGCGCCCAGACGGAACAGTTACAGCGTCCAGAAAGACAATGAAGAAAATCGTATACGAATACTATTCGGATCACTTCGATAACCAGGTCCACCTTTCTTTATATGAAATAAAGGAGGATGGATATGTTGTACGACCGGTTCTCCCTTCCGAAGTCCGATATGCTATTTCTTTGGTGAAAAATTCCAGTCTCCTTGTAAACACGCTGGTTCGGCCCTTCACACGTTATCTATTTGAATGCAAGGTCCCTACTCAGTGGAAGACCACTAAGACCGTGTTGTTGTTCAAGAAGGGTGACCTGCACGATATCGGCAGCTATCGCCCAATCTGCTTGCTGTCTGTCGTCTACAAACTTTTCACTCGAGTCGTCCTAAACAGGATTGGCAGAACACTAGACGAAGGAGAGCCATGTGAGCAAGCAGGGTTTCGAAAAGGATTTAGTGCGATAGACCACATCCACACGATAACAAGGCCCATTGAAGTACCGCGAGAGTACAAAAGACCGCCCTGTCTCACTTTCATCGATTTACAGAAGGTCTTTCATCCAACTGAGATAAAAGCAGTCATGGAAGCCCTTGATAGTCAAGGATTCCCTACTCAGTACATAAAGAATCTTCGTAAGCTATACAAGAAGTTCACATCTAAGATGTCGCCAATCTACAACTATATTATCATTGATGTGAAATAAGGGGTTAGACTAAGCGACACCATCTCGCCAAAATTATTTACTTCCACCCTCCAGAGCGTCATGCGAACATTGGAATGGGATAACATGGGGTGAAAATCGATGGTTGGCAGTTACACCATCTTCGCCTTGCTGATGACATCATACTTATAACACCAAACATTAGCCAAGCGGAACGTATGCTCGCCGACTTTGATAAAGTCTGTGGAAAGATTGGTCTTCGACTAAGTCCCACAAAAGCGATGTTCATGAAGAACGGATTGGCTTCATATGCCCCATTCACGCTCAACGGAATGAATATCTCCGAATGTTGCAGTCATCTATCTAGGTCGGGATATCAATATGTTAAACAACTTAACTCCAGAGCTGAGCAGAAGGAAACGAGAGTCTTGGGGAGCTTTCAAGAGCATCGAGGATGTAGTGAAGAGGACAAAAAACACCCGACTGCGTTAGCGTATGCGTCAGAAACCTGGTCGCTGTTTAAGCAGGATGAAAGGTCGCTCAGCGTTATCGAACACGCAGTCGAAAGGACGATGCTAGGAGTATTCCGTTTCACACAAATAAGAGATGGGATCCGAAGCTCCGATCTGCGTCAACGACCAAAAATCAAAGATGGCGTTCTGTGGGCCAAACAGTCGGAGAGAAGGTGGACCAGACACGTAATGCGTATGAATGACAACCGAAGGACAAGAGCCGTTAGTGAGTCGATTCACCGGGATGTTAAACGTACTGCAGGAAGACAAGCGACCCCATAGTCAGAGTTCTTCATGAAGTGCCTAGATGAAAGATATGATGCTCGGCGAGTCCCTAGAGCAAGCAGAACCCACTGGCCTACTTCTGCACGCGGCAGGGAAAAATGGAAGATTTACTGGCTTCCGCTCGGGTCACTCGACGATCAGCGGGACTACAGGTGATACGTATGCCGTTTTCATCCGAATCCAATCATTTCGTTATTCAGTGCAACACGGTGGCAAAGAGCGTTGGCATTTTAATGTCTTCTTTGTCAACTCCTTCTCCTGTATGTATGCTGAGAGTTCGACAGAAAAGCTGTACTTTGCTCTGCACTTCCGGTAACAGTCAGCTAGCGTTTATCCCTATGACGGGTCCATTCCTTGGCTGACGAATACTGATAAAATTACATTTGCTTTACCTCTCAAGCTCTTAATTGCACTCGACGAGTGTTAGAATAAGAAGCAGATGGTACTCTCGACGTACTTTTAAGACCAGTGAGACAATTTCGATGTAGTCCACGCAGCAGAAACCATGTCGAAATCCTGCTTGGTGGACTTGCTATGCCTCATTACAGGTCCTTGATATGCGGGAAGGAAAATCTTTATGCGCTTGTCTGGGATCTTCTCTTTTCGGGGTTGGACGTTATATAGGTCGCGAGGAATACTGGTAATCAGTGGCCTGTAGCTTTAAGCATATCGGTGGTGATATTATCGGGTCCTGGAGGTGTGTCTCTCTTTATGATTTCTATTCAACTCGAACTTCATGTGGGGTGGAGTTCCGGAGCTTCTCATCGAAGGAACTCAGGGTTCGAAACAAAAATTTAGTAGTGAAAAAACTGACGCAGAATTTTTCCATTATCAATTCCATATCACAGCGGGGGGAGTGAGAGTCCTGTATTGGTTCACCAGCAAGATTACAGCTAACATTTATTATCAGCCGTGTTAGACGTATTGCGGTAAAATCTAGCTTCACTCTCCTTTTATTTCTCCTTGAGCATCACCCTATTAGTTGGGAAAATGCGGCATGATCTCCTAATTTCACGAACTTAGTCGAGTTCTACTTAAATTCCATCGACATCCAAGGTGTAGTCCACGGCTATATCTTTTTACTACAGAGAATATTGCCATAATAAGTTACTTGGCTTGCTTTTCTTGGACGATAACAGAAGTTCTGCTACATCTGTTCTTGTGAACTGATTTTGCTGAGCTGATGAGAAGTTACAGTAAGTTGTTGTTGTTGTTGGTCAATCGCTGAGGTTTCGGCGATTTCGCCTTCCTCAGAGCCTGGACGTATTTTATATAAGAATAGCTTAATAATTCGGTGTAAAAAAGACAGCATTAGTGAAGATCTGACATATGAATAAACGCCATATTGGTTAAAAACTACTCATCGTGTTTACGAGTGGGACTGCCTGCGTGTCGCTCACGTGATATGATGAGCGAGCCCCACCTACCTTGGGTACTTGGATACTTGGACGGTCCATCTTCACGAGCTGTGCAGACCCCAGCACATATGCCATTCGTTCCTTTCTCTCGCAACCGTAGTTCAGGATGGTGGTCTTGTTCGAGCATAGCAGCGCGTGCTAGTCTCATACACCATCACCCATCTCCACCCACCTCAAAAAATTATTTTGAAATTGGCGGCCACACCATTAATGATAGTGAGACATTCGTCTTTCCGATTCATTTTTGGATTTTTGAAACTTGTCGAAAACGTCTGAAGAGTCTTGCATGTTGATGTTTTTGACTCCTGCGCTAGGGTCCGGACAGTCACTTCAAAATCATCGCCGTTGTGCTTTTGTGCCCTCTGCCTACCTAGAGGAGTGTTTTGACGGATTTTAGCTTTTCCATCTAGATGTTCTTTTATGCGGACACAAAGTGGTCCATCCGTCTCCCCAGTTTATTCCTCACCTCATGCGTTACATGAGATCAAGTATATTGTACCTGAACTCACGTAATCGTCGTCTCTCCTCGTAGGACACTACACAATTTCTAAGCTGCACAAACGATCATGGAGGTGGTTGCGAACTGACGGCGTAGCATATTGGGTGGGAGATCAATAACCGCCACATAATTTTCGAGAGCACTTTTTCTTAGGCGCCTTCTAATGACGTATCTTATTTCGTTTGACGTGAAGGGTGACTTGAAAGAGATCTTAATTAGGTTTGAACTATTATTTTGGGGAACAATACTAGGATTTTGTCTGACCGGAGCGGCTTCTACTTCGTAGCCATTAGAAATGACTACTTTTCGTGTCAAATTCAGCGATTCCTTCCTTTTCTCTTCTCCTGTGCATACATTTTTACCCGTATGGTACATGATTTTGATGAGTGCTTTTTTCATGTGTAAAGAATGAGAGGAGATCACAATGTTATACCTTTTCATTTTCTGCCTACTATAATTTCGCAGCAGGTTACTAAGCGAAATACAACCACAACGTTGCTGAGATATTTGCAAGATATAGATACTTGCTAAGATAAAATTATAGAAGGCAGAAAACAAAACGTTAAACATTGTGATTTCAACTACAGCCATAGCTTAACTGGGTTCTATGCCGATTTGCGCTCCCCAGATCAATCCCGCTGACGGGTGATTGCTGTGGCAAAAAGATCGATAGAAATAGCTGAGAGACAGGCGAAACGAAGGACCCGCATGGTGTGGTGGTGAACGCGTTACTCCCCGGAAAGGACAATAGCGCGTTTGTTCCCCACCATAGACACCTGCGGTCCAGAGTTTTGCTAATGAGAGGAGAGTTAGTGAAGCAGTATATTTTTACTACTTGGCTTTTACGATACCATTTCGTTATACAGCCGCTTTCTGAAAGCTCTATTTAAATACTTAAGAAAGGAAGCCAGTTGTCTGGTTTTTTTTCGCGTGAATTTAATTTACTCAGACAGCCTATTTAACAATTCAAAGTATTCATCCATCTGTTCTTGTGTGGAACAGACGATGAAGCAGTCGTCTATGTACCGACAGTAGAGTAAAGGTCCGCGATCGAAAACTGGTGCATCCACCATAGGCGTAAAGGCGATGGCAAGGCTTGGCGCTAATCGCTGTCACATGGTCAAACCTCTAATTTGTGCAAAATAGTGAAAACATGCACCGAACGCCACACCGAATGCACACGAGAAGGGGAAACGAAGGAATTGCTAAGCTTGCCTGCCACGAAAAAAGTGGCCATTTCCAATGACTACGATGCAGACGCCCTTCGGGTCAGACTAAAAGGTAGGGTTGTCCCCCAAAATAGTAATATCTCAAACCTAAGTTAGATCGCCTTCAAGCTATCGTTCATTTCAAACGAAGTAAGTTTAGAGGTGCCTAAATAAAAGTGGCCTTAAAAGTTATGTGACGGTGATTGACTTCCTACAATGCTCTACGCCGTCAATTGGTCCGCAATCGCCCTTATGATCGTTTTATGCACCTCAAAACACTCTGTGATCCGTCCTAACGGGAGAGACGGGGACTGCATGAGGTCAGGTGCAATATACTTGATCTCCTGTAAGTCATGCGGTAAAGAATACATTGGGAAAACGGGTATACCGCCTTATGTCGGCACAAAAGATCTAGATGGGAAAGTAAAACTTCGACGAAACACTCCTCTAGGTACACATGGAGCACAAAATCACAACGGAGATGATTTTGAAGTAACTGTCCGGATCCTAGTGGAGGATTCGAAAACGCCAACCAGCGAAAATCTTTAGGTGCTTTGGATAAATTTCAAAAATCCAAAGATGAACCCGAAAAACGAATGCCTTAATATTACAAGTGTCCTGGCGTTTTATTTTAAAACGATTTTTTCACCTGAGAGGGTCTCGCTCGTCATCTCAAGTGAACAACACAGGATAGCCCCACTCGTAAAAGCACGGTGAGCAGCTTTTTTTAAAAATAAACATGGCGTTTATTTATGTGTTAGATCTTCATTAATACCAGAGATTTTTCACCGAATTGAAAGAGTGATGTTACATAAAGTATGCCGAAACTCTGAGGAAGGCGAAATCACCGAAATCTCAGCCATAAACCAATAACACCAACACCATCACCAACACCACCACTAACAACAACAGCAACATCATCATCAGCAACAACAACTACACCAACAACACCAACAACAACAGCAACAACAACAACAACACCAACAACATCATCATCAACAACAACACAACAAGACGACAACTTATAGCAACCTCGCATCAGCTCAACAAGATTAGTTCATAAGAATATGTGGGTGAATGTACTGATTATTTATGCCGAGGTTTATAGAAAGTTAGTCTTTTGAGTCCTGTTACAGCTTATGGCTAAATCAAATTTTCGCACAGAGAAAGCAATGAATAGATCGAAGGCAGAATCCAGGCACCACAGGACTGTCAAATGGGCAACATTTTCTGTTCGTGAGAACGTGGTCGATCTCTGCATGAGACGTGCCTTTAAGAGTCTCCCATGTCCATCGACGGCTTTCTCTCCCCTCGAAAAGCGAGTTTCTGTAGAAGAGACGTACTACGAACAGGAATACCAGAAGAAGGTTTCCATTCTCACTTTTTTCCTCTAATCCAGATATTCTGATATTGCATTCTCTCTCGTTGTCCTTTCTTATGCTGTGTTAATGTGTCGGACAACAAGTTTATGAGACTCATTACGAATTACTTGTTACTTCTTCCATCGGTTGGAGACCACGTCCAACACTGTTCCCTGAGCTTTGCGAGTTGGCAACCAGCGGTTGACGATACTGACCTTCTTTAAACGCTGATCTTGGAGACGAAAATTGGCTGAGCGCTTGCATAGCCCTTCGTATGAAGTGTGTATACAAAAAGTAGATAAAGATACGACAAAACTAGCGCTTTTAATACTTTCTAATAGGAATTTTTCTTCACGAATAATAAGAGCTCCGTCATGAAGTTGACGTACCTTGTGCCTACTGCTTTTTGCCTCTTATACGGTGCTCACACGGAATTTGATGCGATCAGAGCCGTCAAGAAGGGCGTAAAGATCGGCGTCCGAAGAGACTGTCCTGGTGTTATAGAAGCAAAGGAAGAAGCAGTCTCCTTCCACGAAGTGTCGGGGATGGGTTCGCTTTGTTCGTTTCCAGTGACGTCCTGTGCGACCCAAGATTTGATCACCTCTTACCGGTTCTTTCACCAACTGACGTAGTAGACGGGAGACCTCAATGTACAGTACACTGAGGCAAAGGATCTGCTGTTTGAATCTCTGTGGTTTCCTGAAATCCCGAAACCGTCCACAGCCTTTCTCAGATTGTCACCACCACGTGCCACCGCCGACCATGTGGATCAGAGGGAGATTTGCCACCATGCCACTAGTTCGGTACTAAGACGGTGGTCGTTTTTGCTATCGGTTTACTCTTAACCTGGCTTCGTGGTGAGAAAACCAGACTCCTCAGTTTGGGAGACCCTATCGGTGGAATGAATTCCCCATTGTAGATCGCCAGTCCGACACCCAGAAACACCTCCCAGCCACGATAAGGAGGTAAACCGTCGAGGAGATATATATGTGTATATATTGCTGTTTGTTTCGCTTCTGTGAAAAAGCTCTATCTTTGTTACCAAATGCTATAGAGCATCAGCACCACGCACTTACTACATGCGCACAGTTTATGTAAATTTCCGATTTATTCTTGTGTCGCAGCTAACTATTACTCGGTTTTTTGCAATCGATTCAGATCCAGTTAATCCCTATTGAAAAGCGATAGCAACGTGAGGAAAATCTCATAGATATCAATGAAGAGTAGTAAAGATGCAAATACATATTCCTCTGGTGATAGGTTGTATCGTCTTCCTCCCACGATCATCTAAACAAGTCATTAGTTTGAAATAAACGCTTTCTGAGTTAGAGGGCTTGAAAGGAATAAAAAATAAAACAGAAAGTCAAGTCTTCACCTGAATATCAACTGCTAGATAAACCATGAAACTAACGCAAACCAAAGCTGTGAATACTGTGTGTAAGACCTAAAATACTTTCTAAAAATGATATCCCTTAGACTTACTTTCGTTTTTCAGAAAAAACGCTACCGTAGTTTAGAAAGTTAGAATGGCGATTGGACTACAATTGTTTTGGAAATGCTCGTCAAACCTTTATGTAAACGAAGAGACTCAATACCATTAAAACGACACCGAATATAGCGATGGCCGTACCAGCAGCAAAAATAATGAACATGTGTCTGCAATGAGCTCTTATGGCCGTGCAACATCGCAATGGACTTCGTGAAGTTTTCTCACCAATTTTCGCTTCGTAAGTTACCTTGTTATATCGAAACTGGTCTGCGAGGCGAACAATATAATTGCACTACATGACAGAGTGGTAGTGACGAGAGCGAGCAGTACTGTAGCAGGTGGCACACGTGCACATGCAACCATCGAAATCAGTCCGGCTGAGACAGTCTGAAACTGACCATTATTACTTAGTAACGGTGACAAACCTGGTTAATGCGGACAATGTTCTTTCACGTGCTATTCCCTATTGCTTTATTTAATTCACACACTTTTCTTCAGTCATACACTTTTAACTGAATGCGTTTAAACTTTAAAAAGCCTATAAATTCAGCTGTTTTCATATGGTTTTGGTAGGCAAAGGTGAGGTCAAAA